ATTTGCTTTCTATGTGTTAATATACAAACGTAATACCTTAGACATAATGTAAGTGTCTAAGGTTAAGATTAATTGTTATTAGATGCTTTGTGGAGTGATACAGGGCCATGAAATGATGAGTTACAACAGTGGAATGTGGCAGGTCTTGCAGAAGAATGCGATGTTGATATGCCGCTGACGACAGCGAGAATGTTGCAAATGTAGGAATGCTGAATGTGAGATGAGATGACGTGCAGCAATGTTGTTTGTTTTGTATCTTTGAACTGTCAAAGGGAGGCTGAGTTGAATGAAATTGGACTTTCTTCAATGTTGTGTTTTGCTTCTGTACTTCATGTGATTGCATTTTTCTAGAGGTGCACAGCAAAAATATAAAATATAAAAGTACTTTTCATTGAGACTAATATTCTCATGCACACAAAAAGTCCCAACTGGATTTAGTTACAAACTGCTGGTGTGGAGGACCCATGTGTCATGACGTGTTTGACGATAAGGAATTTCTGGTGATGTTTGAATGATCAAAGTTCATTTCTAGGCATGTATGTTTTGCTGTAGCAGGCAATAGAGGCATCTTTGAAGCATTTTTAATATTAATCATATCAGTCTTAGCATGTGGCAGCTATGGCGCCATAAGAATGGCGTCCTATGGCTTTGATTTTGCTTTCATAATAATGATATGTATTATTATAATAATACATATGAAAGCATTCTAAATAGAGTTAGCATGAAAGAACATGCACAGTAGACAAGTGTTTACTTGTTTCCAGCACTTAAAAAAAATCTTATTCTGTTCAGTAACTGTGTGTTACTGTCTTTTGAGTCAGTCAGTGGGATGTTTTGTCTAACATTCATATGGCCTCTTATTTTTGTAAAGCACACAGTTCTTAAATAATGTGGCAGGTGTGGTTGTTTCATAGTTGATCCACCTCGTTATGTTTGTCAAGAATTGTTGCTCTTAAATAGATCAGATTACGAGTTACGCCTGTAATTGTGCACATGGTTAAATTTAGTTTGAGCCTGAAGTGAAGAGATGTGACTGAGCGCACTTGCCCTGAGGAATTAACCATTTTAGTTGCAACATTAACAACATGTTTTAGCACACTTACACAACATGTTGAGTCAGCCTGGATGTAGAACTCATGCAATAACATTTTTTTTGTTAATTTAGGCAAGAAGTATTTCTGGATTCATGATTTATTTTGGACTCACTCCAGCAAAATATCATGGATATTTAGACAAATATATGGATTTGGCGTTTTGTCACAATTTAAATGAGACTGAACTAAAATTGTGTCACTTTTTCACTGCACTAAAATTACACATCAAAACACAGTCCGGCTCAAAAGTTGAAGACCACTTGAAAAATTGTCTTGAGCATGCAATTTATTAAAAACAACACTTAAACTGAAACAGGCTGTTTTACAGCTGATCAAAGGTTTGGGACCTTTAAAAAGTCAAATCTGTGCAAAAATGTGGATTCATTGTCATTTTCTGTCAGGTAGCCAGATTGTAATGACGTTCTGATGGCAAAGGCAAAATTCAATTCAATTCAATTCAATTCAATTCAATTTTATTTATATAGCGCCAAATCACAACATAAGTCGCCTCAAGGCGCTTCAAAATAAAACGTGGTACACGTTGTGAACGTGGTCGGGCTGTTGAACTGCATAAGCAGGCTCTCTTGCACCATGGCAGGACTAGAACATAAATAAAACATTTCCTTTGTTTTCTTCATATATAACTTTATTCTTTCAGTGGCAAAAGTAAAACTGCTCCTGCTTATTCCTCACTTAGAAGAAAAATATAAAATTAAAAAAAGGCACCAAAACCTATATCAACAGGGCTTCTTTCACATTTTTCTATATTACTGCTAATTAACCTCTGCAGATCTATGAGATCCATATTTAGCTGGACAAGAGTGCATTTAATAGAAATAAAATTTAAACTCTTTCACTCCATTCATCTACATGACAGATGGGACTAAACTCGTAGAAAAGTACTCGACAGCTGTGGGATCCTTCTACATTTCCCCTTTTCAGCTGGTTGAAAAAATTGTCAGTTTAGTTCTCTGGCACAGACACACATTATTTAAAAATCAAGCATTTCCACACGTTGTGCCAGACATTTTGTTTTTTGTTGTTCTGATTTTTGGCAGTGTTACTTGTACTGACAAGTCCAGGAAACTTCAAGCTGTGTGATGCAATGAACAGCTGTGCGTGTGTGGTACATGAAAGCTTGTGATCAGGCATTATTTGGGAGTACTTAATCTGCTTTTGCTTTGTTTTTTAAATAACAGATCATTTTCAAGATTGTGTTCATTTAATCGTGGGAAGCCAAAATTGTGATCAAGGTTACATTTCGTGGAGCCCTGTCATTTAGTTGTAATAACCAAAAGATCCTAAAAATGTCCTTATTAAGCATTATATGCACATCTGCAACCTTAAAAGTGCATTACACCGCACTCCAATGTCAGCATGACTATGTCATAACCTGAAAAACACTGGTAACATTTGACAGTCAGATAGTAAGAACAGAAAACATTGCAGTGGTACGTTTCATTATCAGAAAAAGGAAACTTAAAATGCCTTTGAAAGAAACGAAATGAAAGAAGAAAGAAATGAAGGAAACAAAGCATGTTAGAATATGAAAGAAACTGTTGACAGTGTTACAAAGTTTACAGTTGCATGGCCTCTTGTCAGTAACATTTCTGTTGATCTCACCCCCATGCTTTTCCTGGAAATGTTCAATCTTTGTCGCACAATAATACTGCTGCGTCAAAGTAAGAAAACAATAACCTCAAACATTGAAGACATTTTTTTTTACATTTTCCCTGATCTTTCATTTATAGCTTCCTCTAGATTTTCCATCTGAATATCTTTAATAGGCTTTATTCCAATCTGCCTTTTTCTCAGAAACAAGTAAATATAAAGTCCTAATGATTCCTTCAAACATTTTGAACATATCTTACTACTACCTCACCTGGTCAGTGTGTGCTGAGTATCTACTCCCACACCTACCTGGGTGTGACAAGTGGCTGTATACTATATATAACTCCAGCACAAAAGTCACTAGTCACTAATACATGTAAGATATGAGAGGACATCAAACACATTTGCATCAAGTAGAACACAAGGTAAGAGAAATCTTTATGGAGTTTTTGTGAAGTTACACTTGTAAATCTCTGTCCTGACACAAAAAGTGCTACATATACAACAGCAGTGATTACATCTTAAATCAACACAGACTTTCTGCTCAACAGTCTCAGAGTTTGGTATGAAAATTGATCAGATTTGTTTTTCTCAGAAAAATATATATTGAAAAGTATTTTATGTATGAATGTAAAATTTCACACCAATCATTATATACATGTTTAAAAAAGTTGAAGATGCTTGAGCAGCTTTTTTTGTAAAGATTTGATGATATGAGATGGAATGACCCTACAGTCAATCTGTGGTTAGACCTGGGAAAAACTGCTTGGACATAATGATTCCAGGTTTTAGAAGATTCCAAGGGCTTGTAAAAGTACAATACATAAAATATATTTAGTGGATGAAGATAACTTTAGGGGTCAGAATTACAAGTTTGATGTAGAAGTACTTATCTCCACGTCTGCTTTATTTTCTAAAACACTTACTACATGCCAAATTTTAATTAACCTTTTAAACCAGGGGTCCCCAATCCCAGTCCATGAGGGCCGGTGTCCCTGCAGGTTTTAGATGTGTCCTTGATATAACACAGCTGATTTAAATGGCTTAATGACCTCCTCAACATGTCTTGAAGTTCTCCAGAGGCCTGGTAATGAACTAATCATGTGATTCAGGTGTGTTGACTCAGGGTGAGATCTAAAACCTGCAGGGACACCGGCCCTCGAGGCCTGGAGTTTCCTACCCTTGCTAAAAATGCTAACCGTCACTGGTGATGGGTTAGGGTTTAAAGCAGGGGTCCCCAATCCGAGTCCACGAGGGCCGGTGTCCCTGCAGGTTTTAGATCTCACCCTGAGTCAACACACCTGAATCACATGATTAGTTCATTACCAGGCCTCTGGAGAACTTCAAGACATGTTGAGGAGGTCATTAAGCCATTTAAATCAGCTGTGTTATATCAAGGACACATCTAAAACCTGCAGGACACCAGCCCTTGAGGCCTGGAGTTGCCTATCCCTGGTTTAAAGGCTAAATTAGGTCAGCGTTTAAAGGGTTAAAACCAGTAATTGGAGATTATGTATCAGAATTTCAGGAGCAGGACCACGCCTCCAAACACGCTCCTCTATATAGGTACCCCCCAGTACTGCAAGCTGAGCCCTTGTTCTCCATTCTTTAACTTCTTCACTTCTATTTAGTACATGGGGATTTGCCCAGCCCGGGAGCCATCGCCAGTCCCCTTCAAGTCCTCCCCCAAACCGCAGCTCAATTCATGTCAAAGCATTCACTTTTACCTACTAAAACGCTGTCAAACCTAAAATGAGGACGTGGGCCCAGCTAGTGAATAATAACAATCAAGAATAAAACTAACGCAGTAGGTATAATTTGATGAATGTAAAATCCTAACCCTTAGTAATGTACATTTCAAATGTGTGTGTGCTACTGCCATTTAGCCTCAGAGGACAGTTCAGACTAAAAATCTTTTCACACGTTTATTATGCTGCAGGACACTTAAAGCTAAAGATGGCAAATGGACCAGCACGGTCCACTAAGGAAGGGGAATTGCATATGGGAAGCCTCCCATTGTTGGATATTCTCCATGCAGATCAGTTTGAAGGAAAATATTCAGATGAAGATCTCCTGGAATGCACAAAAAAGGCTGAGGAAAACTTTTACAGAGGGGCCCCACCTGAGTGGTTAAATTTCTACATCAGTGAACAGGCAGAGTCCCTAAAGACTGGAACTACTTTTATCAAAAGAGATGGATACGAAGAACTCAGGGAACAAATTAAGAAAAATAGAAAATTTCCAGGGATATCAACTGTAAAACTGTCACACCAACAAGGATGTGGGGGAACTACAATGGCCATGCAGGTGTTGTGGGACTTGAGAAAAACCTTCAGGTGTGCTGTTTTAACTGGCTCCACCTCAGATATTACAAAAGTTGCAATGGAGGTTGTCCAACTTTTCACAGCAGGCAGTCAAAACCACCAGAGAACTGTGTTGTTGTTGCTGAACAATGAGTCGATTCTGGAAGATCTCGAAGTCAGCATTATGAGGATAGTTGCTGAGCAGAAGATAGTTACTCATATGCCTTTGGTCATTTTCCTCAGCTGTGTGAGAAACAATGCACCTCAACAGAGTGACCACGTTGTCCTAAAGAACACACTCTCAGACAATGAGAAGAAAAATTTTGATAAGAAAAAGGAAGAGCTTCAAAAGAGGTACAAAGATAAATGTGAACAGTTTCATGGCTTTAACATAATGCAAAGTAATTTCTCTCAGGACTACGTCAGGGAGGCATGTGCTGCATTAGAAAACAGCAAAAAAACAAATCAGTCACTGAAGCTTGCTGCCTTCCTGTGTCTGTTGAACGCCTACGTACCAGGGTCATATCTCCTGGAGTCTCAGTGCCTGGACTTCCTCAGACAAGACAAGTATGATGACCTTTCACTGGAGGATCAAATGCAGCCTTTAAATCATCTCATTATTACCTTCCAACAAAATGAAAGTTGTGAGAAAAAAGTCCGCATGGCTCACACTATGATAGCAGAATGTTGTACTAAACTGTTGGCAAAGACAGGTGTGACCAGAAGTGACACAACAAGAAACTTCTTGAACAGTTTTTGCAGATATGAGATTCCTCTGTGGTTGCTTGGTTTTGTCAAAGACATGCTAACCAAAAGAAAAATGAAAAAAGAAGAGGACCAAGTCAACAGCACAGAAATGAAACAGGAAAAGTTTTCTAGACTAATTCTAGACATTCATACGATGGAGGGGAAAGAGCAGTGTGCAACAGTTTTAAAAGTGGCCTCAAATACATTTGGTCAAAATCCATTTTTTCCACAAGCTCTTGCTCGTTTTTATTATATAGAACTAAAAGACTACAATCAGGCAGAAATGTGGGCACAGAGAGCAATAGAAAGAGATCCTCAAAATTCTTTTGTTGCTGACACACTTGGCCAAGTCCATAAAAACCGCCTAATGAAGCAAAATGTTTCTGCCAAAACAAGAGAAATTTTGCAAATGGCTCAAAAAGCGATTAAAGCTTTTGAAGATGAAGAAAGATTAGCTGAGGATGAAGATGGACCAGACATGAAAGAACATGGCAAGAGGAATGTTTCAAGACTTTTTAATTCAAGAGGGCTTTTTGGTTACCTGCAGGTCTGCAATACTCTATATGACAAACTTTTTAGTCAAAATGAAACCTGGGAAAAGGTTCTCACAAAAAAAGTATCGGCGACCTCTTTCCTGAAATCACTTAGAGGCTACAAACTCCTCGGATTCATTGAACTACTAGAAAGCCTCAGAGATAAAGTTGAAAGAAAATGCATGTTTTTGGAACAATATCTGACTTACTCAAAGCCTAACACAGAGAAAGATGATCCTGAATATATATCTGAAGATACCTCAGAGTGCTACCAGAAGTATGTTGGAGACACAACTGCAAAACAACTCATCCAGATGTTTCAGGAGGGAAACCTAGATGAACAGTCTGTGGAAGCACTGTCATTTCTTGTCAAACAATACACTCAATCAGAGCTCGAATACATATCTACAAAGTGTAGAGAAATGTGTCCAAGTGCAGATTCAGAGACAGCTCTGGTCAACAACATCCTCACACTATTTAGACGGAAAATGCCCCCAAGTGACACAGACCCACCTGAGCTGCACATGTTCACCCTTCTCTTGTACTGGCCTGAAAATGAAGGCCAGTGTGTTTATGACATCAGTCAAATAATTCAGCAAATGCAGAACACTTACGAAAATGCATATAAGAAGTACTTTCGTGCCAGGTATCTTCTTCCTGTGTTTTTCATTGGAAAAGGTGAAGGTGTGAAAAGAATTGTTCACAGAACAATTATTGAAAATCATCTGAAAGCAAAACCAGATTGGAGCGATAACTGGAAGAAAGAAGAAATCTTCAGAAGTCCTGATGTCCAAGAGCTCCTTCTTAGACTTGATGGAGTAGTAAGAGACTACGGAGTATATACAGGAGTTGGTGGTAAAGAGACTAAGATCAATGCCAATCTGCAAAACAGCTGTTGGAAAAAACGTCAAGTTACCTTCTACCTTGGATTTACTATCAGAGGTCCTGTGGCCTTTGGCATTCAGAATAAAACTGCAGACACAGGTAAGATAACATAACAGTAACATTGCAATGAAGTAAAATGCTCTGCAAACATTCACTACTAGTTAGTAGTTGTTTCATGCTTTGCCTCTCCAAAATGTGAAATGTACACACATGTAGAAGTTGCATTACCAGCAGGGCGAGATAACATATTAAGCCAAGAAGTCAGGATTGAACAAAAAAACAGAGTACATTTCAGCTAGGTGGCATCTATGTATATAGATGTAAATGTGTTAATAATGTCCATTTGAACACTTTCACTTGATTATTGTCATGTTAGCTTGAAATAGAATATCTCACTCTGCGGTTACTACAGCATGCAACTTACTGCAACTTCTGCATGTGTGTCTTTTTCATGGTTTGGAAAGGGAAAGCGTGAAATGGACACGGTGCACCGGCAGGTCTATTACAAGTTTTGGCATGATTCACGGTGCAATAATAACATAAAGTACATACACATAAATGCAATATTACAAAATTAAACAGTGCAAATGTGAATTTATTTGGCTACATTACAGTAATAGTTACTTATTGGACTTTTTATAAATACACCATAGCATAATATTGTATTGTGTTTTTTAACCTGTATTATCCATTTTTCTGTTGTTTTACTTTATTTTTTGTTTGCTGATTACCTCAGTTATTGCAGATCAGAATGGGAAAACTCTGACCAACAGTGTGAAAGAGACCAAAGCTGCCCCTTAAGCTTTAAACATCATACAAGATAATGGGGGACATCCAAGTTTGTGAATCCTGCTCAACATCCCCCCCAATAGGAAAGTGATTCTGAAGCTTCCTTTATAGTATTTATGTCTTTTTATATGTAGGGGCAAAAACTAAAAGGGGAAAATTGTGCTGTAGCGTTGATGTGATGCATGTGATCCAGCACTTTTAGTCATGTATGTATTGTCTATGCTAACACCTCAGATTAAACAACAGACTTTCTGATTCTTAGAGATGATTTACTTCCTAAAATTTGGCTTCTTTGCATAGTGTCTATTTAATATTTTGTTTATACATTTCTAAAGACTTTGCTAATCAACATCTGAAGAAAAATGTCTCCTCAAAGTATCGTTTTAAATTGTTGTTTTGCTTCCTGTCTTGTTACTCCTGTTTTTTTTCCTTCCTGAGTTCCCAGCTGTCTTCACCTCCCTGATCACCCTCGCTGTGTATATACTGGCCAAATCTGCCCTTGTCTGGTGCTGGAACGTAGGTTCTTTCTCCATGCTAGTACTTTCCAGGTTATGTTTCCTGCAGGCAAAGTCTTAGTCTACGTTTGCCTTTTATTTTGTATTTTGTGCAACCTCTAAATGGCTTGCTTTTGTTAAGTCCCGTATACAGGCATCTGCATTTGGGGCCTCTCAATTAAAGGTTGCCTTTTTGTGTTTGTTTTATGTGTTAGATTCTAAAGTATAAAAGAGGATGTACATGCTGTTAAATAAAGGTTCGATAATGTTATGGATTTATCTAAGTTTAAATGTGAAAAGGATTTATATTCAGCTTTTTGTTTGTTTGTTTGTTTGTTTTTGCTTTTACCCTTGTCTAACCAGTGTTTGATTTCGTTTTACTTATTGTTCTTGTCTAGTTTTGGAGGGCTGTTTGTTTTATTATCCGAGTTTACTCAATAAAGTATTTAATTGCACATTTACACACATTTGGTACTGATTTCATAGACGTATTTGAAAAATTATATTTCATCCATCTTCTTCCGCTTTATCCGGGGCCGGGTCGCGGGGGCAGCAGCCTAAGCAGAGAAGCCCAGACCTCGCCACCTCCTCTAGCTCATCCGGGGGAACACCAAGGCGTTCCCAGGCCAGCTGAGAGATATAATCTCTCCAGCGTGTCCTGGGTCTGCCCCGGGTCCTCCTTCCAGTGGGACATGCTCGGAACACCTCAGCCAGGAGGCGCCCAGGGGGCATCCTTGTCAGATGCCTGAACCACCTCAACTGGCTCCTTTCAATGTGGAGGAGCAGCGGCTCTACTCTGAGCCCCTCCCGGATGGCCGAACTTCTCACCCTATTTCTAAGGAAGAGGCCAGCCACCCTAATTAGTAACTTATATTTACTATTAATTTAAAATTTGTTTGCAGATTATTTAGTACATCTGAAACAGTTAGTTGTTTAAAGCCCAGCCTAACAGTTTTGCACGTCTGGCCTTTAGTTTTGTGAAGTGCCACGTCTTATAAAATTATTTCAAAGTGAAATATTGGCATCATTTAATAACACACATAATACCATAAATTGTTAAACATGCTTTTAATTTATTTTGAGACATGATTAGTAGTGAAATAATATTAACATTAATTAATAATAAATCACTGACAATCCCCACTTTAAATGCCTGGGACTTTCCACCTTTTGGTTTAAGAATTGAAGAAGCCTCTTGGATACCAGGAAAAAAATACTCATGTAAAGTACAGTAACAAAGTGTTTGTACTTCATTGCTTCCCACCTCTGGATATAGCTGCATATTAAACTCTATGGATTAAAAATAGGATCTCACTTAAGGCAAGCCGATTATTTTATATATAGCACCAAATCACAACAACAACATAAAGAAAACAGTGAAAACATGTGAAGGCAGACAAGGGAATACTTTTGCATATATATGTACATCTCTGGAGCAGGAGTCATAAGTTTGATTCCCACCTGGGGCATCTGTATCCAGTAAGAGTCCTAGGCTAGACCCCCCCCCCCCTTCTCTCTTATTCTCGACATGAACGAGAGAGAGAAATATAAAGTCATGCCATCTCGGATGTCACCCTAATCAACAAAGTCCAAGACAGGTGTCTAGGTACCAGGGCACCCTGATGAGAAGTGGGGAAACCTGGATCCCCCGTAGCCAGTTACCAAGACTACGTGAAGTACCCTCAGAAGATCTACTAGATGATGTGATTGCAGCACTAAGAATGATACCTGTATGCTAAGCGGAAAGGAGGAGAACGGGGACTGGTGAGTGTCAGTACCACGGTCCAGGATGAGACAACAAACATCCACAAATACATCAGGAAGATGGCAACACATAACAGCAGGGTGCAAGATGCTAGCAGGCAGGGCATACATGGAACGCCATAACCAAGTGGCCGGCATAGTGTACAGGAACATCTGTGCCAAATATGGCCTGGAAGTCCAGAGGTCAAAATGGGAGACATCCTCTAGGGTGGTGGAGAATGACTGAGCTAAGATCCTGTTGGACTTCCGGATGGGGGTGGCTAACCAACCGGATATAGTGGTGGTGGCCTCTGGTAGAGTCCCACATAGACCACCAGTAGGGGTGAGAGGAGGTTTTTTTTTTATAGAGTGACCTCTATATAAGTCTGTCATGTCCTTTTACCCTTTTTAAGACCAGAACCAGGTTATGTACACATGATTTTATAAAACATAGGTCAGCATTCATTAAAGATAAAGTGCGCGTGTGTGTGTGTGTGTGTGTGTGTGTGTGTGTGTGTGTGTGTGTGTGTGTGTGTGTGTGTGTGTGTGTG